TTTGCCGGTACCTTGAGGTATAGCAGTGACTTCAGGAATAGCGGTGTGCTTGAATTCATTTATATAAACTATGGTATTTCAAGCCGATGATAGAACAAATTAAAATTCTATAAAATCCATAATGTAGCTTCAATTAACCTACGAAAAAATATGTTAAATTTCATTCGAACTTTTACTCCAAAATACTATGCGTTAGGAGAATAACCTCCTTGCTGTTGACCTCCAAGTTTGACTAGCGCCATCCGCGCTGTATAGTCTGTGGCGAGAGTCGCGTGCGCGGGCGCCGTTAGCGCGCCAACTGGAAATTTATAATGATCGATACTCGCCTCATTTCGACTGGACCTTGCTCTGGATACGCGGGTCGGGACTTAGCCCTCCTTGATTCACGACTTCCCGCAGTCGCAGCTTTATACTGTATTAAACGTGTTTGAACAATGGCCACCTATATAAGGGCAAGCAATTTGTGTTTATTAGATATTTTATAATTAGTTCCGTGGCCTCATTGCGTTTGATATTCTCATAATCGTCTTTAACTAATTAGTGTCATCTTTAACTAAAAAGCCTCTATATTGTGATAGTTTCGCCAAGCGAAATTGTCACTCCTGTTGGTAAAATTGACGTGGTTAAATCAAAATACCTTTTTCTCTAACCTCGATGTAGTTAAAGTTGTAAATCTACGTTCTTTGAGACACCTTAGTTATATACATTAGTCGTAAGTAAGGGTTATGCTTTAACTAAATCTTAAAATAGCAATTACGGGAATACGGAACAGTGTCCGGGTGAGATCAGTATCCGTACGCTTGCTTTTAATTCCATATAGTCGAGCTAGTTAAAACATCGATACCGGCACCAATGAAATTGTTAATTGCAATCTTATGTGCTGATTTATCAAGTACAAGTCGATGAAGGAAAACATCGTTAGGAAACCTGCATATTTCCGAATTTATATTATTTTTAAAATTAAAATTATATAAAATTTTATGAATTTCAATTTTAAAATTAAAGTTTATGCGCGACAAAAATAGTATAGAACAACTAAAAATTTGTTATTCAGAGATGAATTATGTTATTAATTATTATTTAATTATTTATTATTAGAAAACTAAATGATATAAAAAATTTTACGTCACCAACGTCAATGACTGAATAATGACGTTAATATTCTCCACGGTAAAATCCCTTAAAAGCTAAAAGAAACGCGTTTGTTCACATGGTTTGTAATGAAATATTTAAGGAATAATTACGTCTGCAGGGGTCTTAATGATTGCCGACTGTATTACTGAAAATTACATGCACAACTTTCATATCATGCTTCTTTTGCATTGTAACTATTCTGGACCATAGCAGATGTGCACACAAGTTCGACCAGTAAAACTAACCTTTGTGTGCATTGTTCTTTAGAATTTGTTCTCAAATCCAGAGGGAGAATTAGAATCTGACACTGTAAAGCGTGTTGGAAAAGGAAGGACACCGCATCTACATTTTGGATGGAACTCAGTGAACTTTGGATGGCATTAAAAATTTATCCTGTAAAATGTGCGAGATAAGAGCTCACTCTCCCGATAAAACTTGGTGAAATAACAACATTAAAAGAGCTGTATTTAACCGCAAAGTTTAAGCCGGTTCTCTAATGAATAGATCTAAATAATTGTGAAGCTGTAGTTTTGAGACTTTGACGTCCGCAAATGTCTTCAAGAAGCTTTAAATGATGAAAACATTTTGGAGTATTTGGCGTTCTCGAGCCTGAGTAAGGAGACGCAGCTTGAGCTAGAAAACGGCAATAAGCTCTTACACCGGCTTCGGGTTGCAAAAAGACGTTGTGTCGTTCTAGATATCGCTGATGTACCTTTATTGCTAACGGCCAGGGTCCCGTGATTTCACGAGTAACGGTCAGAGTTGTGAATCAGCGCAGATCAGTCCTAATTAAATACAGACGCGTTGACCGCACCGGTACGTTACCATGCTGAGTGTACTTATATTATTAAATTACGACTTCCTTAGTTTTTCAAATTTAAAATTTCATTCGTCATAAGTCAAAGTGAGTCAGAATACCGTAAGCGAGCTGTTAATATCATAAAGAGATGACGCACGCTCTGAAGAAGGTAGCGACGATACAATGAGATGATAGAGGTGTGGTGGAGAAGAGGAGCACTCGCTAAATAAATTCGAAACTCAATGTGAGTTATATGAAGTCCCATTGAAAACGTTTGTCTATTAGACAAAGGTTTTTATCGAACTTATTTTCCATATTATCATTCTTGCCCTCCAAAACTCCTCTTAGTCTTAGTCTCCACTAGATTTAAATATAATAATAGATTTGGTGGTTGGACAATTGACTTTATTTAATGATAAAAATTAAATGTAAGACAATTTGTAAAGGTGTAGTTTGTTGACCCTACTTAGTAGATGGTAATATTATATGGTCTAAAATGCACGCCGCTGCTATCTCTAATTTTTTTCCATCTGCATTTAAAATCTGCATTTTTTCTAAATTGAAAAATTTATCATCATATCTAGAATCTTTAATATATAATATCCATAGAAATAGATAGAATTAAAATGATAATATTAATAGAAAAGAAAGGGAGCAAAACTCATAAAACTAACTCATTTTCACTAAACTCATCACCTCATGTGTGGAGTCGTTAAGAGGTTACAAAAAATATTTGGAGGAACAGCGGAAAAAAGAGTTCTTTCTGCCAATCGACCGGTGTAATCAATTCTGTATGTTTATTGTAGATTAATTTCACAGATTAATATTGATTCGGCTATTAAATAAATAACGCCAGTGTATTAAAACTGCGCCCGCGAGGTTTGTGTGTTGATTTTTGTTGCGTTACCAACTTTTATAAGGGTTAACACTTTTTTTTTTGTGAGAATGTGGCAAGCGAGCTGGTGGTTCACCTGATGTTAGGTGATAACCGCCGTCCATGAACATCTGCAATACCTGTAGGGTTACAGATGTGTGGCCTACTATTAAATAAAGGGCGCCCAAGCTACCCCACACATCAGACGAAACGAAGAAGTATAACATTTCCACCACGCCAATCTTCTGTGAGATCGTGCGTGTCCATATGAGACTGCCCATTTATGCAACAGCAGAGATTGCCGTGTAGCCTAAGAAACGAGCAAATTGACCATTTCCGTTTGACAAGATTTCAATACCATACAATCGAACTCGCGAAGTTGACAGAGACGGGGCAGGAAAACATAAGTCGCATTCCGCAACGGACGCAGAATCGCAATGATTGTTTTATATGGTGATGCTCTAATTACTCGTAGCGTATCAAGAGCGATCTTTCCTTAGGCCGGTACAAGACTTGCGCGCACTGTAATTGCTTTACGGGCACTCGCGGCCGCCTAATTGCGTTCGCACTTCATAACGAGCCGTTTGCGCAACGTCAGATTCCATTGTGCCGTAAATCGGGCATCGTCGGCCGTAACGCGGCGTTAACAGCGCCTTACGTTTCGGCTTTCGAAATGGACCGCTCGTGATCGATCGTTGTTTGTTTTACGACGCAAATTACGCGAATTGGCCGTCCGACGGAATTTCTGATGTTGCTGTCAATTAGCCGCGGTACTTAACACTGTATTGCTCAAGAAATACCAACTCATCAATAAGTTCGCGTAGAAATGAATAGCAGAAAATGAAAAGTGATGCAATATTCACGAAAAACTGTTCATTTACTGCGCTTTGTATATTCAATTTACCGCCATTGGTAGGTGGTATTACTTGTACCAGTAATTATATTTATTAGAGCCTGGTCAATATCGATTTCTCATATGGTTTTAATTAATTCAATTAATATGAATATTGCTATGGGTTGGCTAAGATAAATACGATTAAGTGCATACTTGTCTGTAAAATCGGATTCCATGTTTTTTTTAATTTATAATCGAAAGAGAGATTCGAAACCCTGCATCTATTGTATTCAAGGAGAAAACTCTGAAACCAGATCCGAAATCATTACTCCAAATCATTACAGATATGAAATCATTACTCTTACTATCGTATAAGATTAACATGTCTTGTTCTACTAGAACAACAGTTACTATTTGAAACGAGAGCTGCTTGGTGTCTTTGTAAGTCCTCTCTCTCACCCCAAAATGATTTGATGACCAGAAGCAGCCACAAATCACTTGAAAATCTACATATGAAAATGTTACATATACATACCTTGCTCAAGAGATCCACGTGACAATCAGCTTTAATTTACCTTTTAATTTTTTAGCGATTATAGCATCCGGGCGCGATTCTAGAAGGCGCGGATTCATTCCCCACAGCGGCGAAAAACGTTTTGTCCACAAAATTTTAAAAATCATTAGTAACGATATAAATAAATAATATAATATGTTCTACATAAATAATATGTTCATTACAATGTGCCATGTATAATTGTATCGGTACGAGCTATGTTTTAATTTTCTCTCGATAATAGTTCGATGGGTGCGATGACCTGCAGCCCTGTAGTCCCGGGCTCTAGAATAGGACTAAGGTATCTTCTGCCTGTTGTAAAAGGCGACTAAAAGGGGACATGGATTGCCAGCAGCACGAAGTGGCGTCGAGCTGCTGCAAGATAGTGAGGGAATCGGAGAAGGTTTATCCTTCTCCAAGGTGTGCTCACGCCCCACATAACCCTGTCACAGAATGACAGCGTTATTTGATCTTACGAAGATTTCCTACCCGATACCAAAAAAAAGGGTGCGATGACCCCGATTTTTCACGAGTCTTCCACTTTTCATATTTTATAACTTTTAATTTTCCTTTTCCACTTTCTTGTATTTCACCCTTGAATACCCCTTGAATAACCCTCATCGGTCAAATCGGTCGTCTTTAAGTAGTATGTTTTTAAATAACGATTTTATCTGAATTTTTAGAATATCAAACTAATACGTCAAGTATCAAAACGCAAGTCGAGACGTTGACAATTAAAACGTCAATCAAGTAAACCCCTTGAGCGAGGGACAAGCAACATTCTATAGGTATAACCTGAACGCTACGTCAGATATACCGCGGGCGCTGAGACGGGTGCGAATTCAACGCTTTGGTAGCGACGGGACGGCGGACGTGAAAGCGTGACCATCGCTGCCACAATTAACCGTATCTCGTTGGGTGGGTGTCCGCGCGATCGTGATAAGCCGGGTGAAATGCTATCTCGGTGCCTCCTGCCCCGGACAATGGAGTCTCTGCACTGTACCTCCAATCTGCGCCTCGTCCATTGTCCGCCGTGTCCAGAATTTGAAGCGGCGTCTCGGCAAACTTTGCTCGCCGGAAGTTCGGGCGGCGCTGAGGGCCGGGCCCGCATTGATTGTTAGCGTCCTTGACGTGTCAACGGAGTTGATTTAATTGTTTATCTTAATAGCATTTAACACGATATATTTCAAACATAAACATAGTTGAAATTTTATATCCTATTGCTTTTTTGTTTGCCATTCGTTTACTCTCACTAAAGGATACTACTCGTTTTATGATTAACTATTTCTTCTTCATCTTCTTTAATTAATGATCTCCCTTAATATAATTCAGCCGATGTCATGTCAATTGGTATTCCTTTTTATATTTAAACATTAATATTCGAAGGACAACTTTGAAAAACAAAAATATCGTAAAATGTAATTTCATGGTTTCGGATGAGAATTATTTATGATTGGATGCAATGGGTAAATACGTATATTACGTAAAAATAAGGTAACACCTTTTGCGGAACCCACGAAACTTTACTTATTACATTTAGTTACCGTGTTTTTCATACATCAATCAATTGCGTCCATTATTTGCCGGTAACCGTACCGGCCGTTGCCGAGTTCCGGTCGCGTGGATCCGTTTTTACGGCGTTCATGTTAATACGCAATTATTAATTGTTACGCTACATCTCGCAGGAGGACGGCGGGTCATATTTGTCGGTGAAAGAGAGCGTGCTGGGCGACGACCTCGTTTTTTCTACACCACCGTCACACTTCGCTGCCGTATTGAATCTCAAATGTCTTAACAGCATCGTTACAAGCCACTTTCATTGAGTGTCTTCAGTGAGTTTCAGTGATTTACTCATACCGTCAATTAGCAGATGACTGGGTGTTACACGGTCCAAAGCAGCTGTTGGTAGAAGCTTCAAGATTTGTAAGGAGGTGTGGCGTGGTCGCCTGCGATGTAGGAAGCAAAATTGTTTACTAGGACTTTTCCAAATTCGACAGCGGTTGAACATGTGAAATATCCTAGTCATTCACAATTCTCAGATTTGATCGACTATATTTTTGAAAATAAGATGATGAAATTGATGGTAAGTGATTACCGGCGTTATTAGAAGCCCACGGCATAAGAAATACCACATATACTTTTTAGGTTAAAAAACGCTTTTTTTTGGAAGTCCTTCTTAAATAATAATTTCTTGTATTTACGCGATTACACATTATAAATGAAATTAATTTTACGGATTTATCGCGTTTATTTTTAATTTTAATTCCCGACGTTTCGAACCCTTTACAGCGTTCATGGTCACGGGACAGACTGAGGTGTTAGACGTCTGATTGTCATAGTTAACCCGGAAATAGAGAATAACATGCCGGAACAGTATGCATTACTACTTAAACATTGCCTAACATCCGGCTATTTGCTTTGGAAGGAGGAATTTTACATACAGATAGATGGTGTAGCAATGGGCTGCCCAGTATCTCCCATTGTCGCTGACCTATTTATGGAAGACTTTGAGGAGAAGGCCCTTCGCACAGCTCCCATTTATCCAAGGTTTTACAAGAGGTATGTAGATGACACCTTCACCATTTTACCAACAAGTAAAGTTAATGCATTTCTAAATCACCTTAACTCAGTAAATTCCAAAATACAATTCACTATGGAATTAGAGCATAATAACTCTTTAGCTTTCTTAGATGTTTTGGTCATCCGCAATCCAAATAACACTGTAAGTCACACTGTGTATAGGAAGGCAACCCATACAAATAGATACCTAAACGGTGATTCTCACCACCATCCATCCCAGTTAGCTACCGTGGGTAAATCTTTGTTTCAGAGAGCACAAGGGATCTGTGACAAACAACACCTGGCCGCTGAGCTTCAACATGTCAAGCAAGTTCTGCATGACAACAAGCTTCGAGCACCGCGCCTACGTCACAGTGACCGAGTGAAACCAGCCACAGTGGAGCGAGTACCTGCTGTTCTACCATACGTCAGAGGAGTCACCGACAAGATTGGCTATATCTTAAAGCAGGCTTCAATTAATACATTCTACAAGCCGCTGAAGAAGATTAGTCAGTTTTTACCATCTATCAAGTGTAATATCCCTCTGCAAGATCCAGGAGTGTACAAACTTGACTGTGAATGTGGGCTCTCTTACATAGGTCAAACGAAAAGAGCAATAAAAACCCGCGTGAAAGAACATATAGCTGACATAAAACACAATAGATTGAACAAGTCTGCAGTTTGTGAGACATTTTTTTCACATTTTGAATAGGCCCAACCACTACATCAGGTTTGACAAACCACAGATCCTTGCAAAAGAACACCGATTCCTCCCAAGGATGATTCGCGAGGCTATTGAAATTAAAAAAACACCCTAATTTCAATAGAGAAGAAGGTTGGGTACTACCATCAGCTTGGGATCCTGTCATCAATAAAATTAAATCTAGGCCCAAACGAACCACTACTGCAAGACAAGATACAATTAGCTCCCTCTGCATAGATCGGAAACAAAATTAATAATTCAAAAACTGACGGTAGCCCGGGTTAACTATGACAATCAGACGTCTAACACCTCAGTCTGTCCCGTGACCAGGAACGCTGTAAAGGGTTCGAAACGTCGGGAATTAAAATTAAAAATAAACGCGATAAATCCGTAAAATTAGTTTCATTTATAGTCCTTCTTAAAGCTTGCTTCGAAGCAGAATATTTAATGTAAACAAAGTTATGTTAAATCCTAGTGACAATTATCCACTTATCACATTATCAGATTATGACAATAGAACTACTACCTTACGAAACTTCAACCAATCAAATATTTCCATGCCTGGCGGTTTAACTACAACGTATGATTTAAACAACAATTAATCATGTACTCAATTAGCTTTCGGTAGAATTACATATAAATTTTTAGTTCCTAGCCCTTGGGCAGGCCCATCCTAATGAATGTACTTTTAGTGGAGTTGGATTGATCGATGATATATTGCTTTAATCTAAACTATGGCAGTTTGTATATGTAATTAAGATTCTTCGAAAGTTACTGCGATTGGTCATTAGGCAAATCATATAAAGCTCACAACGGAATATTTCTGTACTTGATTGCACTTTATAACTATATTATCAATAAAAATAACTGTACATTCGTAAATTACACGGATTCAATTGAATTTATTTTATAATATTTACATCGAATAACTCTTACTCATTACAAAAGTAATGGTGTAAGTAAAGAAATCATTTTGAGAGTTTAAAGTTTTTTACTCCCAACATTATAAGTACAATTCTAGTTTATTATATCATATAGAAATTACTACTCTTCACTAAATAGACATTAAGTACTAACGGTTTTACGACGCACCTGATCAATGCATCGATGCATATAAAACCTCTTTAGAAATACCTTTAACAATACTTTCTTTCTCTCTTAGATGTAGGACATAAAAAACAAAACTGCTTACAGAGAGCTGTCAAAGTTTTAGAACTTTTCTCGTTACCGCGTTGTTAATTATATGATCGACGATACGGTGCAGATATGATCGGACCGAGCCTTAATTAGTTTAACTCCAGATGAAATTACGAGGAAAAGTTGTCCAATTTGAAACTGCTGGAAAATTATTGCTCTTACCGCGTTATAAACTACCCGCCGCCCGGTTTGTGCCGACTATTGCGAGTTTAGAAACAATTTGATGACGGCCAAGTACGCTAATTGGTGATTTCGTTTCGCGATTTTCGAACTTTAATTATCGCTGCGGCCACCTCATCTCACTTTCAATGAACACGAATAAAGAATCCAAGTAAGGCAGTAATTAAGTGAAAGGGTACATTGGGTAAGTCGATTAATATACCATTAGTGTTTTACAATGCATTTTTCAATATATATTTTTAATCTATGTTGCTTAAGCTGAGTTATCTTTCGCTGGGCAAACATTGGTTGTTTTAATGTATTATATATGTAACAGATCTGAAATCTTTAAGTATGCTCCACAAAATCGAATATAAGATCGAAAAGGAACCGACAATTAATCAGGGTTCTCAATAATTGGTTGACTAGGCCATTATTATCACTGAAAGATTTTAAGTCTCTCTACGACGTTACACCGCGATGTAGCATTAATTCTTAAAGTTACGTCTAATATATTAGATTATATATGGCCAATTATGGGACTATGTTTGTTAATATGTTTATCCTATTAAGTTTTAATTTGGATTTACGATGTTCAATAAAGTTCTCTACGCTGTTATAACGAAGGTAAAAGATCGTTAGTAGTTACGTATATGCCATAAATTATAACACGATTGACTAATTTGCGAACATTGATTGCTGTTCTAACGAAGTGGACTTTGCGAGAATAATTAATTATACGCCAAACGAAGACAAGCTATAAAAACCATGATCTAAAATCTCTTTGATCATATAGTTTCTAAGTTAAATTCATCATTGACGTCTTCCAATCTCAGATTTTACTACTAAGAGGGATACATCATAGTTCCGTAAATATAAACGCAAAGGCGCTTTCCATAACTGCAGTTTCCGAAGCACTTTCTCTTACTAAACGATCCCTTAGCATAGTAATATAAATTATGTGTTTCTTAGACTATATTTTTATGTTTTCAATAATAAAAAATACATTCGGCCAGTTCGCGATATTGACTGAATTAAAAGTAAATAATAAAAACTTAAATAATAAACGTATGTATGATATAAAGCTTGACAACTAGATTTATGGTGCCCAAATGAGTGGAGAAGTCCCGAAGAAGAATAGAGGCCCTTTGACAACAGTCAATGTTTACTGATAAACAAAAATGAATAAAAATATGTATGCCCTTCATGCCTTCCTAAATTTTTCGTCCGGTAATTATTTTGATTAAACAGTAGTGAGTTTTCGGCGCACGCCCGAAAAATATAATTTTGACGACCTGAATCGCTAAGTGGATCTCTTAGTCCTGAGGGGTTCCATCCTCACTACTGGAAAAATATTGTGTCGTGAACATAGTATTTTTTAAACGACTTCAAAAAAGGAGGAGGTTTCTCAATTCGACCGTATATATTTTTAATTTTTTTTATGTGTGTTCGCGGATAACTTCGTCGTTTATGAACCGTTTTTCGTTTCCTTC